ATTTATCATTGTACTCAACAAAATTTGGACACTTATATGGCTGTGTTGTACATAAAGCTTTTTTTTGTGAGGGTATTTTTTGTTATTAGGAGGGGTATGACATCATTTATATGGGAGGAGACATCACCCACATGGAATATTAAATGCCACTAATGTGTTTTATATAGGTGATGTCACACCCTTCCTAGTGACCAAAAATGCCCTTACTAAAAAGGTGCTCCATGTACAAAACAAGTATCCAAAATGTATTGAGTACAATGATAATTAATAAATTACTCTATTGTGTGAGCGCCCTAACATAACCATATATATATATATACACACACACACACACACACACACAGAGTCACATTTAGCAATCAGAATAATCGCACCTCCAAACCCCACTGAAAGATGCAGTTTCGGTGTCTAAGACTCTCACAATTGCTTGAAAATGTATTTCATCTCAAGTTATGAAATTTAGGGCTTCTAAAACAGTGTATATCAAGTAGATCTACAAACAATTGAAAACGGACGGTCCAGAAAATGTTTTACAAGATGTACTATTTTTAAGACTTAAAATTCTGTTTTTTTATATCCATCCATCTTGAGGTTGAGATGGTCAATTGGAAGGTTTTTTTAGCATCGGAATAACCTTTCCTGGTGAGTTTTTGCATTGCACTTTACTTTTATAGCATAAGTTTAATACCTTGTGAACTTTTTCCGTATGTGTGTGTGTGTGCGAGCACGTACGTGCTTGTGTATGTGTGTGCGTGCATGCGCATATGCTCACATACACACACATGCTGGCCTGAACAATAGCACAAATTTATATTTCTGTAAATGTATTTAATTTCACATTTCAGGTCCTTTCAAGATTGACAATGATAGAGATTATATGAAACATGGGGTGAAAGTGAAATTGAGTCCTTTCTCTTGGACCAAGGTAGTCGAAACATAACAAAGTCTTCATTATCTTCTGTTTTTCTAATGTGAAAATTCTTGATTGGAGCTCTGAAACAGCTTCATACTTGTCAACCTGTACAATTTGAACATGAAGCTTCTGCTTGCAGTCTTTACTGTGAAACTATCATGTAGATAACTTTTAGCATGTCTACATGATCCAATGCGTGTGTTTATTTGAATCTATGTAATTGTTCAACTCTTAACATCCATTATTAAATTCCTCTTCTTTGTAGGTGTCCAGCATTGTATATGTGGATTCACCTGCCGGTACTGGATTCTCTTACGCCGACAACAGTGATGATTATGAAACAGATGATTCCAAGACTATTGCTGATCTATATGAATTCATTTTAAAGGTAAGTCATTCAATACTTTTTCCTGGAGCTCCTAAATAATAGAATGTTCTTGTTTCTAATGGTGCTGCTATGCAGTGGTACCGTGCATACCCCGAATTCTTGTCTAATCCACTTTATGTTGCTGGAAGCTCATATGCTGGAGTTTATGTTCCAGTTTTGTCTCTAGAAATTGCGAAAGGTAGCACAATGCGATCTTTGTTAAATCTGTAATTTGTTTTGTCAGATGTTATAATTTTAATTAAAATGAGCAAATGTTACATAATTTTCTCCATGATTATGACTGTCAATCCTCTGTGTAAGGCTTGGGTTTGCTATATATGGTTCTATGGCATGACTCCTCTGTGCAAATTAGGCTCCCTGTTGATAATTTACTATTTTTTTTATTCATACAGGAATAGAAGCAGGGGCGAAACCAAAGTTAAATTTCAAGGTAACTGACTTTTATTTTCTTTTCAGAAACATGACGAAGTGACTATGACTCTGTTAATGGTTCTTTTTAGTCATCTAGAGAGAAGTAGGAGAAGATTGCATGGCGCTATGTTGTTTTAGCTTTCACAATTAAATTTAACTGATTGAGAATGGAGCTGATTTCTTTTGCTTACTGTATGAACTAAACTATTCTATATGGTTTTCACATCAGACTTGACCATCAACAGCATTCACAGTTTCACAAAGAATCGATGTTTTTCCTTTAAAGTTCGAATTTTTACACAAAATGTGGTACTGAAAAGTGATTGGGATATAATCTTCCACGAGTATTTCTTGGTTTAAGATATTTTTTATTTACTGTTATATCAGGGTTACTCAGTAAGCAATGGGCTTACTGACTCTACCATTGATACCAATTCTGGGGTTACTTTTGCACATCGAGTTGGACTCATTTCAGATAAGTTATATAATGATTTAAGAATATCTTGTCAAGGGAATTACTGGAACTCCAGCGACCCTGATTGTCTTAGGAACATGGCAGCTTATCAGGAGGTAATATAGAATTCCTATATTTCTATTTGGATATCAATTTTATCATGGTTTGAGAAATAACCAATCTCCACATTGAGTTGTAGAATACTGGCGGGATAAATCGGTATCATATTCTTTGCCTACCTTGCCACTATGAAATGGGCATTAGCAGCCGTATTAGCTATGAGGAAAAGGAGCACAAAATTGACTGTCCAGGAACAACTATTGGAGGAGCTTTGGAAAATGTAAATGCACATCGTCGCCTCCAGGACAGACATCCTCAAGACAGTATCTACTGCTATGTGAGTTATATATCAAGGGAATGATGGTTTTTAATAAAATCGTGTAGTAGTCTTCTGTGTCAATATGAAATCTCTTCCTGATGTATAATTTTGAATAGGGTTGGAAATATTTGTTAGGTCCACTCATATCAGGAAATAGTTTCTTATTTTTTACTTTTAATGTTATGCTTATTTTCTTTTGTCAATTATCTCAATGCATGGAACTTAGATTATGTATTACTTATGTTGCATTGGCAGGATTATAGTAACCGGCCTGTGGTGTTGTTCAACTCAGAATCTTCAAGGAGGGATTTGCATGCACAGCCGGTATTAATTTTTTCTGTGAAGTAATATCTTAACTGTCACTCTATCGGTGCTTGTGAAAGTTATGTTCTTTTGGTGTTTAAAATTGTCAATCCAAATTGGGAATCTGTAGGGTACAATACCGGTTATAGGGTGGAATCGGCGGTTCCATATTTTATATAATATATAATCGATGAAGGAAAATTGAGGGAACAATAAAATTAGCAAGAAACAAGTCAAACACAAGAAATTTTGGAAAAACCCTAGGGTTTTCTCCCACCTAGGCCTCAAGCCTTAGGCTTCTTTTACAAGATGGGAGAAAACCCTCGTATACTTATTTTAAAATTTGCATTCTATTTTAAAGGATGTATATTTTTTTCTCTCCATCAATAATATACAAAGCTTGTATCATATATTTTGGTTAGAATGTGCAGCTGGAAAGTGAAAGTTTGGAGGTTCGAACCACCATTTAATAGCATAATTTCCATCTTTTTGTTTTCTTTTTGGCCTTTTCCTTCATTTTGCCTGATCACAGATCGAACTGATCTGGGTTGCCGAACCGGATCAGGATCGGTGGGCACCAACCCCAGTAATTTGGTGCTGAAAGGAAAATTTGGGATTTTGTTTTCTTTTTATTTCCTTTCTTTTATCCTCAGTGTCTGACCTTTTTGCATTTTGACGAGTAACTGGACCTAGCCTGAGCATGTTTCTGGATTGAAAAAATTATGAAGAGGTGCAGATAAATATGGACTTGAAAGCAAGTAGAACTACCATATACATAAGTTGTCAATGATTTCATTATAACTTGGCAGCAAAAGTCAGTTTCCCTTAATGGATACCATGAGCCTTTTGCATGTAGGCAGCAAACGTACGTCCATTTTGGCAGCATTTCATTTTCTTTTGTCCTTTAGTCTTCAGCAATTCCTAATGAGTAGTCAGCTTCTGGGGGCATAATTTTTCTATCTGGTATCTGTTTGGATCGCTCCATGCTTGGTGCGAGTCATTGTTGTGCCCTCTATTTCCATGTACTTTGTCAAATTTGGTTGTTTTAGGCCTGAAATTGCACCCACGTTTAGTGATAGGATCTTTGGCTATTTTAGAGTTGTAAAATTTTGGAGTTGTATTTATGGTAGTTTGCATTCTAATAAGAATTTTAGATTCCTGTTTAGAGGGTTTTCTTCTCTTTTGAATTTTGATACAAATACAACCGCCTTTGATAAAGTTGTGAGCGAGAGAGTGAGAGAGAGAGAGAGAGCGAGAGAGAGAGAGAGAGAGAGAGAGAGAGAGAGAGAGAGAGAGAGAGAGAGAGAGAGAGAGAGAGAGAGAGAGAGAGAGAGAGAGTAGTAGTAGTAGTAGTAGTAGTAGTAGTAGTAGTAGTAGTAGTAGTAGTAGTAGTAGTAGTAGTAGTAGTAGTAGTAGTAGTAGTAGTAGTAGTAGTAGTAG